CACACCGGGGATAGCACGCAACAGCCAATCACTTGAAACGACAAAATGAAATAACATAAATCCAATAATGCATACAGATACGGTGGCATAACTCTTCGCTAAGTTAGCATATGAAGTAAGTTGGTTAGCAATGAATCCGTGATAAGGAAAAAATGTCCACAAGTTACTCAAAAATGCTACAAACGCAACAAAATTACCGAAGATAAGCGCAATTAGCGTAAGCGACGTGGCCAGCTAATAGAAGACTATTCAGATAGGCAAAACTAACCAAATAAACTGGAATGAAATTTATGCAGCTTAAAGAGACCTAGTTTAAGTGTAAGTTGGTTTAGCCCAACTGCGGTGAAGAAGCATCAAGAATGCAACATCAGCCTCAGCATGGGGCACACATACATACATGGTTGGCGGCATCCGGTTTCGGATTTGCCTGTCACTGTGGCAAGCCACAGGACGCCTGCGCCTACAGAGGGACCATGGGTGGCTTGCGCTGCACCACCCACAGCTCCAACCACACACCCCATATCCAGTGTAAACCCGAAGGAATAAGACCGGGAGGCATGTGGATGGGAACCACGTTTCATCAACGGAGCCGGCCCACACTCCTTCACAGGCAAACACAAGCACACTGTATTTGGGGAATCAAGCGCACACAAGGCGGTGGCTGGACCGTAGTCCGTTCCACACTGAGTGCATGGAACCACTCTTCGAGCCTAGCACGGCCACAAGGACCGTGCACCCCGTCCCCCCCAGCAACGACCAACTGTCTCCTGGAGCCAGTATGGACGAGGTAGTGGGTAATAGACAGGTAGGCACCTTGTCAACATGCACATCAAGCGCAGCCACACCGGGGATAGCACGCAACAGCCAATCACTTGAAACGACAAAATGAAATAACATAAATCCAATAATGCATACAGATACGGTGGCATAACTCTTCGCTAAGTTAGCATATGAAGTAAGTTGGTTAGCAATGAATCCGTGATAAGGAAAAAATGTCCACAAGTTACTCAAAAATGCTACAAACGCAACAAAATTACCGAAGATAAGCGCAATTAGCGTAAGCGACGTGGCCAGCTAATAGAAGACTATTCAGATAGGCAAAACTAACCAAATAAACTGGAATGAAATTTATGCAGCTTAAAGAGACCTAGTTTAAGTGTAAGTTGGTTTAGCCCAACTGCGGTGAAGAAGCATCAAGAATGCAACATCAGCCTCAGCATGGGGCACACATACATACATGGTTGGCGGCATCCGGTTTCGGATTTGCCTGTCACTGTGGCAAGCCACAGGACGCCTGCGCCTACAGAGGGACCATGGGTGGCTTGCGCTGCACCACCCACAGCTCCAACCACACACCCCATATCCAGTGTAAACCCGAAGGAATAAGACCGGGAGGCATGTGGATGGGAACCACGTTTCATCAACGGAGCCGGCCCACACTCCTTCACAGGCAAACACAAGCACACTGTATTTGGGGAATCAAGCGCACACAAGGCGGTGGCTGGACCGTAGTCCGTTCCACACTGAGTGCATGGAACCACTCTTCGAGCCTAGCACGGCCACAAGGACCGTGCACCCCGTCCCCCCCAGCAACGACCAACTGTCTCCTGGAGCCAGTATGGACGAGGTAGTGGGTAATAGACAGGTAGGCACCTTGTCAACATGCACATCAAGCGCAGCCACACCGGGGATAGCACGCAACAGCCAATCACTTGAAACGACAAAATGAAATAACATAAATCCAATAATGCATACAGATACGGTGGCATAACTCTTCGCTAAGTTAGCATATGAAGTAAGTTGGTTAGCAATGAATCCGTGATAAGGAAAAAATGTCCACAAGTTACTCAAAAATGCTACAAACGCAACAAAATTACCGAAGATAAGCGCAATTAGCGTAAGCGACGTGGCCAGCTAATAGAAGACTATTCAGATAGGCAAAACTAACCAAATAAACTGGAATGAAATTTATGCAGCTTAAAGAGACCTAGTTTAAGTGTAAGTTGGTTTAGCCCAACTGCGGTGAAGAAGCATCAAGAATGCAACATCAGCCTCAGCATGGGGCACACATACATACATGGTTGGCGGCATCCGGTTTCGGATTTGCCTGTCACTGTGGCAAGCCACAGGACGCCTGCGCCTACAGAGGGACCATGGGTGGCTTGCGCTGCACCACCCACAGCTCCAACCACACACCCCATATCCAGTGTAAACCCGAAGGAATAAGACCGGGAGGCATGTGGATGGGAACCACGTTTCATCAACGGAGCCGGCTCACACTCCTTCACAGGCAAACACAAGCACACTGTATTTGGGGAATCAAGCGCACACAAGGCGGTGGCTGGACTGTAGTCCGTTCCACACTGAGTGCATGGAACCACTCTTCGAGCCTAGCACGGCCACAAGGACCGTGCACCCCGTCCCCCCCAGCAACGACCAACTGTCTCCTGGAGCCAGTATGGACGAGGTAGTGGGTAATAGACAGGTAGGCACCTTGTCAACATGCACATCAAGCGCAGTCACACCGGGGATAGCATGCAACAGCCAATCACTTGAAACGACAAAATGAAATAACATAAATCCAATAATGCATACAGATACGGTGGCATAGCTCTTCGCTAAGTTAGCCTATGAAGTAAGTTGGTTAGCAATGAATCCGTGATAAGGAAAAAATGTCCACAAGTTACTCAAAAATGCTACAAACGGCCCAGGCAACCCTCGAGTGACTCGCCAACCGGCTCAATGCAACCCTGGAGTGACTCGCCAGCCGTCCCAAATCCCCCTTCCTCATCCAAGGAACAGACAGTCGCCCTCGACCGCAGACACCCACGAACGGATTGGTCCCCAAACGCCGCCTAGGCATTGTCCACGAGGACGCCTGCATTTCTTCGTGGGACGAGGACGGCCGGATTTCTCCGAGGGACGAGGATGCCTGCATTTCTTCGTGGGACAAGGACGGCCGGATTTCTCCGAGGGACGAGGATGCCTGCATTTCTTCGTGGGACGAGGACCGTGGACTAAAGTGCGGTGGGGGGAGTGACACTTCCCAAGCACACCGTCGGGTCTGCAGCAAAGGGAAGGTCCTGTCGGCCTTTGTTCTGGACTAGCCAGTTTTTTTGCAGTCCGACCAGCCCGCCCCGACGGCCCACCGATGATGCACTCTGGTCCACACGATCGTCATAAATAAAACTAACCAAAGACTGGACCCAGCGAAGTCTGCTACACACCCCAATTTGGAAGCCCTTCTCCAGCCCCTGCAAACATTCGCATCCACCCTCACCTTCCATTTTCCCCCACTAACAGCTCTATCGAAGGCTTCCATCCTTCAGCCTTCTAGGGGGAGGCCCTTGTAGTGCACCGGAAAACATGCTCTTTCAGTATCTTGTAACATTGGATTTTATGGTTGTTTTAACCTTCGAGACGTCCATTTGTTTAACTGACTGCACATCCGTTGTCACAAACCGTTTTGGTGAGTTCCTCGCTGCACGTTCTCGCTCTGTCTGATTCACTTCCTATTCTTGTAGCCTGCACAATATACGTTGGGTTCAGTCGCCTCCGACTTCTATACTGTCGTATTTGACACGTCTTACGTGTCATTGCTTACCGACTAGTATCCCAGGCTCCGCCCAACACACTTCTTGTACATATATATATGTATATATATATATATATATATATGCTCTCTACTGCCTTGTGGGTCAGGCTATTGAGCCAAAGGCTCCGGGTGTAGTCCCGCAAGCAAACCTCCAAACCACCCACTACCTTGTGGGTCAGGCTATTGAGCCAAAGGCTCCGGGTGGAGTCCCTCAAGCAAACCTCCGAAGCACAACGACCACCTCGCGTGCGATTGCACACCAATGCAATCGTATGCCTGCACGCAAAGCACTCAGCATCGGGTGCTGGAACGTGCGCACACTACTGGACCGGAACTCCAGCGAGCGCCCGGAGCGGCGCACTGCACTGGTCGCGATGGAGCTGGCGCGCTACCACATCGATATTGCGGCGCTCAGTGAAACTCGGCTCGCTGAGCAAGGTAAGTTACATGAAGCAGGTGCTGGCTACACATTCTACTGGGTGGGGAACGCCGCCTCAGCACCACGTGAACATGGGGTCGGATTTGCAGTATCCGACCGCCTGAATGGCCAGCTGGTGGATGAACTAACGGGCATCAGCGCGCGGCTGATGACTGTTCGCCTACGACTCGGAAGAGGTAAGTTTGCTACTTTCATAAGCACGTACGGTCCGACCATGTGTTATCCTGATGACACGCGTGCTCAGTTCTACACTGAGCTATCCTCCGTGATACGGTCTGTGCCGAGGAGCGACCGACTATTTCTGCTGGGTGATTCCAACGCGCGCGTTGGACGTGATGCATCAGCGTAGACAGATGTTATCGGTGCGCATGGCATTGGTTCAGAGAATGCGAACGGTGACAGGCTGCTCTCACTGTGTGCCACTCACGGCCTGACGATCACGAACACTCGGTTTGCACTGAGTGCGAGTGATATAGCAACTTGGACGCACCCACGGAGTGGTCACGCTCACCTGCTCGACTATGTCATCGTACGTCAGCGTGATATGCGTGAAGTGCGCATGACACGTGTACTGCGTGGAGCTGAGTGTGGCACTGATCACAAATTGGTTCGGATCAAACTGTACATATATTTTTGTAAATCTATGTATTGCACTCCCGCCGTGAATCGGCGTAAAGTTAACATTCTCTCCCTCGGTACTGTGGCGAAACGTACTGAGCTGGAGAAGGCGATGGCTGCACGCCTGTGTGGTGATGTGGACTGCATAGCCACAGTTGGCGACCTGTGGAACCACATTCGCGACCAGGTGACAGCTGCTGCGGAGGAGACCATCGGGCGCGCAAACTGTAAGCGGCCTGATTGGTTTGATGACAACAATGTGACGATTGACGCATTGGTGTCAGAGAAGAATGCAGCATTTGCTGCACATGTTGCAGACCCCAGTGACTTGGGGAAGAGTAGTCAGTTTCGCAAACTTCGACGGCGACTGACCCAAGAGCTCCGTCGCATTAAAAATGCATGGTGGACGGAGAAGGCGAATCAGATGGAATGCTACGCCGAACGCCGTCAACACAAGGAATTCTTTGACTCCTTGAAGGCGGTGTATGGACCGAGATTGGAGCCGCTCAGGACACTGATCGATGGTAGTTCAGGCGCTAACTGCACCCAGACTGCAGACATAATGCAGGTCTGACGGAAACACTTTGACTGTCTCTTGAACAACCGTTCAGAGATCGACTGGCCTACATTGAATGGCCTGAAGCAGCACGATGTGAAGGCGGATCTGGCGGATACGCCGAGACTGGATGAGACGCAGAGAGCACTTGCTCAGCTGCGAAACGGCAAATGTGCCGGGGCCGACGGGATCCCACCTGAAGTATTGAAACACGGTGGACCCGCGTTGTTGACTGCGCTGCACCACTTGGTGCAACGCGTGTGGATTAAGGAGGAGGTGCCTGCTGAGCTGAAGGATGCCCTTGTGCTACCACTGTACAAGGGCAAAGGTAGCAAGCAATGTTGCACGAATTATCGTGGCATCAACTTGCTGAGTTGTGTGGGCAAGGTGATTGCCCGAATCCTGCTCATTCGCCTCTTAAGTCAGGTTGTGGAACCTAACGTGGCGGAAGAGCAATGCGTATTCCGTTCGGGTCGCAGCACGATAGATATGGTGTTTGCGGCTCGTCAGTTGCAAGAGAAGTGCAGAGAACGACACCAGCCATTGTACTCGCTTTTTGTTGATTTCACCAAGGCATTTGATACGGTGAACCGCGAGGCACTGTGGCTGGTGTTGGGTAAGTTTGGTTGCCCGCGTAAGTTTGTAAGTTTAATTGAATGTCT